GCCGCGCGCAGTGCGTGCTCCGGGTCGCGGACGACGGCACCGCCACGCTCGTCTCGGTCGGCAGGTGCCCGACGACCGTGCGTCCACGCGACGGCGCCCCGTGCTTTGGGCTCGAGGCGAACTACCCGTTTCCCTTGAAGGCCTTCCAGTACGTAGGCATCGACCCGAACGAGCCGTGGGGAGCCGTCTTCACCTGCCAGGTGGAGCGGGCGGACGGCTTTGGCTACCCGCAGCCGCAGCAGCAGCAGAGACACCAGGGGCGTGGCGGCTGGGTCACGGCGTTCGACGAGGCGACCGGCGAGGCGTACTACATCAATGAGCAGACTGGCCAGTCGCAGTGGGAGCCACCGTAGGTCGTGCTTCAGTGTTATATGAGCGTCATTTTGTACCCACCCCCCCTACTTCGTGTGGCGCGTATGGGTGGACCCGCGGGCGGGTCCACCGCAGAAACCACCCCGGGGCCAACCCGCTTCGGTTTCGTCGGTTCCAAGGGCACTAGGAACCCACGAAACCCGAAAAGAAAACGTGCCCCCCCTTCGAGTGTATCTACTATCTTCAGTGTTCATGCTCGCTGGAGCGTCCGGTTCAACACGCGCTCGCGTCTGCTGGCGCCCAGAGAACGTGTTGCACCTCGTGCTCCCGGCGGAGCCCAACTGCTCGCACTCGACAGGGCAGTCCATCCACTCGCGGCAGCTGAAGTCGAACTTCCACTCAATGCGGCTCGCGCCGAATTGTGAGCTCGGCGAGCGAGGTCGGAGAGCGACCTTCAGTTGGCCCAAGCCGCACGCCACTGAGGCAGAGCGGCCGTGCGCGTACGACGCCGTACGCGCACGGCCACTCTGCACCGACCGCAGCGCTGCATTGCGACCGCAGTAGCTCAGCTCAGCCAGGGCTCGCTCGCCCAAGCTCGGAGCCGCCGCCGGTCATGGGCAGCAACAAAGGTTTGACGCGTCGCTCGGTGCAGGAGGGCACTGCAGTAGAGGTGCAGTGGCCGTCCGGCGCGCGATGGGCTACAGCTTCATTGGCAGCTACCAGAGCGCGTCTGGAGCGCTGCCATTGTGTGACCCACGTCCGCTTCCGTCCGCTTCCTGCCCGTTCGGCGCCTCTTTTTACGCTTTCATTGGAGAGGGGGGGAGGAGGTCTCATCAACTTCGAACCGCCTTTGAAAGGGGGGAAATGCGTCCGTCCCTGATCGGGTTGGGAAGGGGGTGGTTTCACTGCGCCCCCCGCCGGTCGGTGGTCTGCCTGAAATTTGCTCCAGACCTCCTCACCTGTTCTTCTTTTAATATATAGCCTAGTTAATCTACTCAACCCCCTAGTGGTCGTCATGCTATGTACCATGATTGATTCCTTCCGATTATCAATTCACTATCCTTCTTAGTCCCTACCTCATGTTTGTGTTAAAATTTTCTGAATTTAATTTTTAATGCCTAGCCGCCCCTATTTTTCCCTCCAATGATTCT